ATAAGCTTGCTGCTGTGATTTCGCCTCTGTGTGTCCTGCCGTCTCGGAAGTGGTTCTAGTTATGTGTCCAATTGCCTTGTGTACAGTCAAAACATGGATTGAGACCAGTCAAATATGCCTCTAATGACGTGCTACGCTCTCTTATCTGTATATGTCTCGATACTAATTATAGCGATGCCGAGTCTTCGCTAATAATCATGATGTGGGGCTAAATAGTGTACTGAACCTCGCTCAGCATTCTGTAGGCTATCTTGAGGGTACTTTGCTTCGCAATATTCCGGGAATCAGGACTGTAAGCACTGTTAGCTGGGTAAGACGCTCTATAGGCGACAATTTAGTTGTAGAAACCGCCCACAACTAGCAGTTGTTCCAGCCATTTGTTAGGCCAATTCTAGTGCAAAATCATTATCCGTGAACAAATGCAAAGTTATCTCCGCAACTAGCTACTTTAATCCTTGTCGATATAGTTTCCGAGGAGCCTGTTCTCTGCGCATTCAGCGGATAAAAATGTTCAGTGCCTGAACAAACGACGTTTGTCTTTGGATATAAGAGGTACTGTATTCTCATAATCCATAAAAAAAAAAAAAAAAGACCGTCGAATCGCCATCAACCAGATTATCCCGCCAATCATTGATTAGTGAATCTCAGCAATAATGCCGTGTAAGACGAGACCAACTATTGACAAGTTTGAGCTTCCAAAACACCACTCAGCGGAGCGAGAACGATATGTGTGATCCAGGGTCAATTGTTCTTTTTTCTTTCTTCCTTTTCATGTTATACTGACATAAGAACAAAAAAGGTCAAAGAGCGTGGCACCAAGACTGGTTAAACTTTTATGCCCTCAATGCCGCCAAAAAAAAAGTAAGCGCTGAGAAGATTCTTAGTTCGTAACGAATCCGAAGAGACAATCTTCAGGTAAAAGGTATGCGCCGTCAACCCGATCCGAACAGCCGGTCCTCAATCTCAATTCCAATTTTGACCAAACCTAGGATATCGGCAACGTCGGCATCTTTAATTCGAAATCAATGCGTTGCCGGATATAATGCCTTCTTTGCTAACTTTTGGGGCGACTTGATCTTGCAACTCTTACGGTTGCCCTACGCTTGATGAGCGGAACTGCAGGATCCAACATGGGACCGTTCAAATGCCGCAGCACTGCTCTTTAGAGATGCTGTGATGTGTAGAATAGCCTTGTCACTCTCAAGGTCAAGACAATAGCATTGTAAAGTTTGGGAATATATCCCGACATATAGTGTGCCTTATAGCTGGCTGTGAAGTGTTAACGGCCGCAACGCTACCCAACCCGACCCGGAGACGGTTCGAAATCGGCAATCGCTGTGCTAGTCAGATCAGGCATATGCCGCTTTCGCCGCTGAAAGTATTACTCAGACTGCCGCATCAATTGTTAGCGGCAGTATGGGAGGCTGCCCAGCGTCTCCGCTCAGTGACGGAGACAAGTGGGGGAAGAATGTGCCTGTATGTAATCATTGTGGCGCGGGGCATCTTCCAGACGAGATGAGGACAATAGTCTTCCTGTTTTGTCGGACAAGGGAGAGTCGGCCGAGTATGTTGTAAACTATGAGTCGCATCAATTTAACCGTGCATGTACCTCTATACGCTTTCGGAAATATCCGCCTATTCCGTACTTTGCACTTCTAGATAGTAGTACCTATTCATCGGGCGTTTACTAGGTCTTAGGACGTCTGCTTTGTGTTATACCCTGTAGATCCGCTGGCTCTAAAACAGACCATTAGAAATCATTAAAGTCAGCTCTTGACGCTACAAAACGCATGAGTACTATATATAGAGCAGTCCGTAGACGACTCTTCTCTCATATCCATTGCTATTCTGTTCATCTCAATAAGCTACACACCTGCATAGTTCCTTCACATCTCACCATTATTACCATGTCGACTCCCGTTATTCACTACTTCAACCTAGGAAGCCTCGGGCGAGGCGAAATTGTCCGGTAATGACATCGGGCAAAATCTTTACATTGACAAGAGCTGATTCGCGATATAGGCTATTTATGAATGAACTTAACATCGAGTATAAGGATGTGTTATACAGTTACGATGAGACATGGCCCTCTATCAACAAAGCCAAGGGCGTGAGCTTGACGGGAACGCTGCCTGTCTTGGAGATTGATGACCAGAGGCTCTACCAGGTAGGCATCCGATGTTCCGAGAGCCTCATACAGACTGTTCGAGTGCAAGTTGAACTAAACATTAATATAGCATCTTGCCATTCTTCGATACCTGTCTCGCCGGGTTGGTGCATATGATGGCGAAACCAACCAGGAGAAATACCTTGTGGATGCGGTAGCTGATATCTACAATGACTGGCGAGTAAGTAGCAGATATTCAGGATTGTAACGCGGCGAATGAATTGGGCTGACACGCTGCTGCTAGACTGGCTGGGTCAACCAGCTAACCGCCAAATCGCCCGACTACCAAGCCACACACGTCGCCAAATTCCAGGGCCTGTTCACTGATTTCTACTCGCGAGACACCAGCGGTCCCTACCTCTTGGGCAACAAGCCGACCTACGTTGACTTTGCCGTCTTTCAAGCTCTCGACAACGACGAGGCTATTGGTGCTGCTCCTGTTAGTTCTCCCTCCAGAGTTGCTTGTCGCTCTATTGCCCCCAATTCTCTCACCCTCTGGCACTTCATGCAACGTCCTTTTCATTGTCATTGTTTATTTATGACTTGTGCACCAATGCTGACAACGCCACTAGAAGACGCTGTCAGAACCACTAACGAAGCTGAGGGAGGCTATTTCGGCTCGCCCGAATGTCAAAGATTACCTGGCTAAGCGAGCTGCTGCTAAGTAGGTGCCACAACCACCAAAAAGAATCTACTTGTCTTTTACTATATATAAGAAAAGTCTTGAAAATTGAATTTTAGCGATCCATTTGTGTTATCTATCCACATAGTAAAAGTGAGAACAGGATTCCATCTGAAGCAGCCTAGTCTCGCTTACCGGGTTTGCTAGTAGGTGTAGCATCCACATTTTCAAGCTGCCGTATCAGGAAAAAAAGCTATGTAATCCTACGTGGCATCCAGTTTAAAGCTTTACAATGATTAGATGAGCAATGCTGTGTCGTTAATATAGCACAGAAGAAAGACGGAGATTATTTGGAGACTTAGCGAGAAATATGTGCGGAACGAAAACAACCATTGGCCGTAGGTGCGTAAGTTAGCGGCCTGCTCAGTACATAGTGAAGGCGGAATATTTGCGCAATGATGCGCCGATATGCACATACCTACATATGAACTTTATTCTGAAGTAGCCAAAAATGGCGGAAATAATAGAATCATGATAATCGGTGGAGCGCGAGCCTGTCCGCTAGAAGTGTAAATTGAAGCTAGACACTCTGCTTGGGAATTTTCATTTGGGCCCTAATGAAATGCGCCGGTTCGAAGGTTCTTACCAACCTTGTATTAGATCCAAAACAAAGAGGTGCATCTCTTCTGTTTAGTTCATGGGAAGAAAGAAGACAACAACTTGGAGTATTAATCCAACTCACTGACAGTTGTATGTCTTTTGCATTTCTTTCGCAGATCTTGGTAACGGTTTCGTTTCGGCACGGAATATACTCGATGTTAACATCGTTCCCCCCTTTCAGGATTCTACACGCCTGTGGCAAGACTCTTGAAATCTCGCTTGAAGACGTACTATACTTTACTGGTGATGAACGTGTCTCCATGATACAGCTTCAACATGCTGATTGTTTATATATAGCAAGAATACACGGTACTCGTTTGGTATACTATGGAGACATACGCGTATTTTAATATACGCGTTCTATTAGTGATATATTAGTGATATTACTTGATGGTGTGGAAGAACAATGCAGATATCACTTGCTCATGATTGTTGAAAACCTTTACCTATAATAACCCACTGAAACCCTACAGCAACTATTCAACAAAAAGAATGCATAACGTAGAATTTACAATAGTGTTTTGATGTCATCTTACTAGCTGAGCCAGTCGGATTGCCAGGAGAAAGTTGTCAGACGTAGTCGTGGTCAACGTCATAGTCCAGGCTAATTTGACATGGTTTGAAGGTATTCGCTAGAACGATAATAGACTCATTGATGATTACTATTAGTTGCACAAGACAGAGGTTTTGGGTTTCGTCTTCCTTGTCATGAGTAATACCCTTTTAACTTTAGACTTACCACCTACCAAGAAGCTCTTCTATGCTAGTAGTGAGGTTGTGGATCACCTCCGTCTCGGAATAAGTATCGACATGAAAATTTAATGCTTTAACAAGAAAAATAGCAGGTTTGTATCCATCATATCGCAATTGATTTACCCATCACTATCTATTATATATGTCTCTAGATTGTTGAGCTCAGCTTTGTGGTAGTTAGACTATAGAACTATTCACCACGTTGTTAGACAGCCCAAGCCGTGCCTATCTAGGTGCAAGTCTTATTTTAACTAAGAAGACTTGACTATACACAAGATATAAAGAATGATCTCAAGAACAAGAGCATACATAATAGGTGATTAGTAGTTCTAATTCCTAGGATATGTTCATTCGAGGCGGATTTAATCTGGATTCGGAATCGGACTCGGAACCGGAATTTTCGCTATCAGTCCTCCCTTATGTAAGGGAGAGTACAACGGATCTCTCCGCAAATTCTCAACTCCCCGTATTACAACGCGCCGTCTTCCCCGCATTGTCCGCCTACGCCGTACCCCTCGCTAAACAGCATAGCAGTTTGTGTTTGCCGCCGTCAACCGTCTGACGCCTTTGAAGGCAACTCACAATTCCGATCCTCTCTTCTTCGTTCGGCTATTATACTTGTATAAGAAGCTCAATCGCATCTGTCCGTTTTTTCCTTCGACATGAGTATAGTTTATTGGTCTGGAGATATTCTACGTGCCTAATATTTCTTGGCATTGAGGAGAGGGCGGCGGACCAGACTATTGACGGATATTCCCATGCGCTAGGCTACTTGGCAGCAGCACATATAAATCTGCTATGGCTTACCAAGTCTTGGGGATAGCGATCATCGCTGTCATTTTCGCTATATACAGATCCCTCAACGCGACTGATGCTCCGAAGATCAAAGGCATACCTGAAATCCCCGGTGTTCCCCTCTTTGGCAACTTGCTTCAGCTTGGAGTTGACCACGCTCGTGTTGCACAGAAATGGGCGACAAAGTATGGGCCTGTTTTTCAGGCTCGCCTGGGAAATAGGGTGAGTATTTCTCAATCGCAATGCATTGCTTGGCTAATTTTGGTTCTCGAATAGCGCATTCTCTTTGTGAATTCCTACGAGACGGTGAAGCATTTCTGGATCACCCACCAGTCGTCTCTCATCTCTCGCCCTACCTTTCACACGTTTCACTCGGTAGTTTCCTCATCTCAGGGATTCACAATTGGCACCTCACCCTGGGACGAATCCTGCAAACGCCGCAGAAAGGCTGCTGCTACAGCATTGAACCGCCCAGCAGTCCAATCTTATATGCCTATCCTCGATCTCGAATCTACTGTGAGCATCAAGGAGCTCCTCAACGACTGTATGAACGGCTCGCAGGACGTGGATCCAAGTCCTTACATGGCACGATTTGCACTCAATACGTCGCTGACCTTGAACTATGGATTCCGCATTGACGGCAACATTGACAACGAGCTTTTGGCGGAGATTACGCACGTCGAGCGCGAAATCTCTAACTTTCGATCAACAAGCAACAACTGGCAGGACTATATTCCTCTCCTACGCGTCTTTGGCAAGGTAAACAGCAAAGCGGAAGAATACCGAGTCAGAAGGGACAAGTACTTGACAGACATGCTCAATGACTTGAAGGAGCGAATTGCCAATGGCACTGACAAGCCATGCATCACAGGAAATGTCCTCAAGGATCCAGAGGCAAAACTGAACGAAGGTAAGTGCCACCAATGTAAATCTGTTTCATTTATGAAAGCATGGGCTAAATTGTGCTTGTTCGCACAGCCGAACTTAAATCTATTTGCTTAACAATGGTTTCTGCCGGCTTGGATACTGTGCCTGGTAATATTGTTATGGGAATGGCGTATCTATCCACCAAAGAGGGTCAGGCGATTCAAGCAAAAGCCCTGCAGGCCATTCAAGAAGTATATCCCGATGGAGATGCCTGGGAGAAATGTCTTGTTGAAGAAAAGGTTCCCTACGTCACGGCGCTGGTCAAAGAAACACTCCGTTTCTGGACTGTTATCCCAATTTGTCTTCCTCGAACGAACATTAAAGATATTCCTTGGAAGGACTCTGTCGTCCCCGCTGGAACAGTCTTCTTCATGGTAAGCACTACTAGTTTGCCGGCAATGGACATTTATTTGAATGGAGAAGTTGACGCTGACCATTCTCCTAGAACGCTTACGCAGCCGATTACGATGAATCTCGATATAAGCTTCCTTATCAATTTATTCCTGAGCGATTCTTGGAAGACACAGAGATTGGTACACCGCATTATGCTTATGGCGCAGGGTCCCGGATATGCGCCGGCTTTCACCTCGCCAATCGAGAGCTCTACACGGCTTATATTCGACTCATCACAAGCTTCCAGATTGTCCCGTCCGACGATCCTTCTCAGGCTCCCGTCATCGATGCCATTGAATGCAACAGCATGCCTACTTCGTTGACAACAGACCCGAAGCCATTCAAGGTTGGATTGAGGCCTCGAAACGAAGCAAAAACTAGAGAGTGGATTGCAGCAGCAGAGGAGAGGACTAAGGATTTGTAATTGTTTTCGTCAAAAGACGGACGCTTGTGCTATTACTTGTGTAAAATGCTATTTCTAAACAGAATCGGAATCGGACATGTCATCTAGAATCCAATAGGGACTTTTCACTCTATAAATCACACCACAGCCAAAGGAGACTTGTTGATATAAAATCGTGCGGCCAATATGAAGATGCCAGAGACAAGCGCAAGCGCGCCAGCATAAAACATGGCAGGTCGATACGCGTGTAATCCACCATCAGTACCACCAAAGGCTTCCAAGATGTAGCCCGCGATCGGTGCGCCCTGCATGAGAATAGATTTTAGTCAGACGAAACCTCCGACTGAAAGAGACAACAGCAGCTTACCAGGAGATAGCCGCCAACCCAGCCGGTTACTACCATGCTCATTGCGATGGCCACTCTAGCACTACCAAATACCTTGCTGATAGCAGTTGGCATGGTGGAGAAGAAAGCTCCATTGGCAGCGCCATTGATGACAACAAAGGCGATGAGCGGTCCCAGTTCTGTAGAAGTTGGCCATATTGCAAGGAAAGTGATGGCAGTCAAGACCAAAGACACAAGAACAGTATTGATTGAGCCGACTTTATCGGAGGCAAAGCCCGAGAGGATGCGGCCGGCGGCAGAAGACAAGCTGAAGCCTGCAACCAAGCCGGCACCAACGTTGGGCGTGAAACCTAGTGATCTGGTATATAATGGGAGGAAGAACGGCGGGACAAACAAAGGGAAAGTTCCAATCGCACTGCCAACGAAGATGAGCACGAATGTAGGAGATTTGAACAATTTCCTAGGCAGCGGTTAATAACTTGCGATTCAAGTTCTAAAAGGTCCATGGTTATTCCCATTTCTTCTCAGCTTACCATTCAATAAACCCTCGCCTCTCGACGGGGACTCTCTCCTTCATCAGCCATGCGGCCGGAAGACCGGTAGCAAGAGTCATGAGGCCTAGGATGCGATATGCCCACGCAGTGCCTAGTTTTCGGATCAAAGAGTCCAAGGCGAAGCTGATTGCAGCACCTCCAAATCCACTTCCAGCGAACATGAATCCATTGGCCAGGCCCCGTTTGGCACTGAAATACTGCGATGGAACCGTAGAAATGACCTAGTTGGCATTCCAGGATTAGCTTGACGAGATTCTATGGCCAGTATGCGAGGTGCATGTAGTATGCGTGTAAATCGTAAAGGTGTTGAAGATTCGGAGCAGACTCACGGCGAAACACAGACTACACGTATGTGACACAAGCGGCGTTAATCATCTCTCTCAAGCCACTCTCTCCTTCAAATGCGTCCATTGTTGCTCTCACCTGACTCCCATCCCCATCACTATCCCCGACGTGAAAAACAGCGCGCCAACGCTATGAACTGTGAAGCTGCTCAGAATCTCGCTGCCGCCCATACACGCGGCGCCCAGCATGGCTGCTGCGCGGACTCCCGTCTTTCGCACCACCAGGGAGTTGACAATTGCCAGCGCCGAGATCAGCGCCGCCTGCAGTGATCCCACAAAAGAGAGAACGGCCGGATCAGCCAGGCCATCAGCGACCAAGGCGGTCTGCATCACGCCCCAGGCATACGTCGTGCCGAGTGACCACCACAGCAGCACGAAGCCGCCGGCGACGATGGCCCAGCCGTATCCGCCTTCAGGGACGGTCGAGTCAGCCTCCCGCGACGCTTCGAGAACATGATCGGCTACGGTGACTCTTTCGAAAGCTTCGTTCTTTCTGCCGCTGGAGCTGCGCAAGTTCCCTGCGTGGCTGGAAGCAGAGCCCGTGGCAAGCTCGATAGCGGTCGTGGTCGAAGTCATCGGCGCCGAGTTTCTCGCTGGATTTCTTGGGAGAAAAAGGTTTCCATCTGCTGGAATTCTGGGGAGTTTTGGAAAACGGCGGGGCGATTGTGCTTGTCGCTGGAAGGCGTTTTTTTTTCTCCCTTGCAGCTCGCTGCGCTGAAGGATCAATTACTCGCGCATATTTGCATACCTGCTTGACAATTGGCAATGCCCTGAGATGAGATTAGGCGCTGGCATGTGTGGCATCTTTTTCTTCTTTGCGGCGTATCTGTGAAGTATTTTGTGTCTTGCTTCGAGACATTAGGTACCTAAAATAGCCTTTCGATCTCACTCTGCTATCTCTTCGCGCATGACGCGGGCACTTGTACGCGGCAGAGATATGCTGCATCGCACTGCAGCTCCAAAGGCCGTAATCAAGGCCATATGTTCATAACTTTACGCCGCCTATTTTGAATGGGCTCATGCCCCGTTTAGCTCAAGTAGTAGGTATGTCGCACGCGGATGCTATCATCGTAGCCAATGAGCCCGCTGGTGTAATTTGGCGGCTTAAGACGGCAACTTAACTGGCTTGAATTGAACTACTTGAACGGGCTTAATTGGGGTTTATTGTTGAACAGCATGTCTTCAGCATAGGTTCCAATTTTTGGACGAAGCAGCCATTGTCGTCTGCCTTGATTCGGGGACATGGACAGAGTTTGCTGATCTTTACCCGATTTCATATTTGGAGAATATGACTGCTCGTCATGTGTTCGCGTCATGAGTATCAATGTCCAGTCCAACGGGTGGGTGAATGTTACACTGTAAGGTAGGTAGCGCGTTACATCTATTTAGGGACATGTGAGCAGGCATCATTAAGTCAAATACCACTCACCAAAGTGCTTCGGTTATTAATGCCGACGGAAAAGAATAGCAGAGGCTCAAAAACGTCATAGAATCCCATTCTACCCCTCAAAGCTGGCTTGTCGTCCAATGTTTATATCAACTAATTGCTTTGCCAAGCGCTGGGTACTCTCGTACGACGTCAATTCCAGGGGTCCCTCGGGACGCTACCCTATGGAAACGCTCGCTCAAGGGCACGCTTTTTGGACTTGATTCGTAAATTCACGGAGGGCGTAATGCATGTTGTGAGCGAATATTTGATTTGATTGCACTGATTGGAATTGCGCGAACGATTGAAGTAGCACTTCGTATTTTCAACATATCGCTGCTGCAGAGTCATGTACACATAGTTGTACACAAACACGAACAAAGAGAGAGCAACATTCGATCTTGGCCGATTATCCGTGGCCAAGTCAAGTGCAGCCCCAACAGCGAGTAGCTTGGCATTAATATCAACGAGCTGCCGGGCGGGGACAAGCGGCAGCACATTCAAGAAACGGCACATACTTTCTTACTCCACTCTCCCCAGACTAATCTGTCTTGCTCGCAGTTCTAGATCTATACACTCAGACAACTGTTTCTGGTGCCATTGAATCCGGCTGAATGTTGCTCATGCGATGCAACATACGCCACGAGCCGGTTTACAGGCAATGTCTCGTGCAAATGTAGGGCAAAGAAGCCGAACGATCCCGATGTGTTCCACAGATATACAAATGCTAAAAGAGGTGCGATATGTGCCAGTCGCTGTCCGTTTACAGCTGTACGTACCAAACTCTCGTGTCATCATATCCCGAAGCGATGGGAGGCAAAAACCTGGGGTAGTCCGTCCCGAGAGCAACTAAGTTGGCGTTTAGCATGCTTATACGGAGCATCACTAGCAGGGATCTCATAAGGCATGCATGCAAACGGTCATGAGGAGGCAGCATTATCCGGTCAGTAGGTACTATTCCCGTAGCGTCGGCAACTGTTGAATGCTTCGTAGCTCGTACCTTCTTGAGACGTCATTTCAGCTCTTGATTGGATCGGCAAGCAAAAAGACCAGCATTTTCAGAGCAGGGAGGGCATAAAGCAGGTCCACACCCATCTTTAGAGCGGGGAGTCAAAAAGGTGTTGGTGTAGCATTCTTTGTTGTTAGCAAGCGCTTATGCAATATGATTCGCCCTTGGTTCGCCCTTGAACGCTCAGGTCACGCCGGATTTGGCCATGCACTGCTTGCTTTGTCTTAGATGCTCATTTAATATGGACGCGGTCATGTTTGCATGGGGGTACATTCACTCTGAAGAGATGAATGAGAGAGGGGTAAATTACATTTGACGCAAGGAAACACACCTATTGTAACGTGTGTATCGTGAGGCAACAGCATCGGCCTCGGCCCTTGGTGCTTTTGCGGCGGAGAACAACGGCCGTTCTCTTGGAGGCTCAGATAGGCAGATGGGGGTTGGTCGGCAAAGGTACATATAAAGGCAGATCGCCGTCACAGGAATTGTCTTCAAACTTCAGAGGACGAGCGAGGACATACTGCGGCGAGGCGTCAGCTAATCATCAGATAGCAGCGCAGTGATCTTACACACGCTCAGATCTCTCTGTCGGCTATTCTTTCTCTCTACATTTGTTTATATCATGGTACACATATCCAATCTCCTTTTAGCGGCATTGCCTGCTGTGTTCGCCCTCCCTTCAGCGTCTCAGCATGATCTTGAGAGCAGAGCCGCAGATGTTGCTCAGACTGAGGCTCACTGGGCAAACCAAGCCTCAGCCCAAGGCCGTCATTTCTGCTACATAAAACCAGACGCCAACGGTGGCGATGATGCCCCAGCTATTATGGATGCGCTCAATAACAAATGCAACTCCAAGGCCCTTGTCATATTCCCCGGCCCGGTGTATAACATACAAACAAATATGACAACTTTGGATCTTCACGATGTGGTCATCAATCAATTTGGCCGCATGCTCTGGAGCACCGACATCGATTACTGGCTTTCGGTATCGATGCCGGTTGGCTTCCAAAACCAGAGCACCGTTTGGTACTTTGGAGGCCACAACGTGGTTTGGGATGGCTGGGGTGTCGGTACTCTGGACGGCAATGGCCAGGTATGGTATGACTGGGCTCAGAGCCAAGGAAACCTGGCTCATAGGCCGATGCAAATCAACTTCCGCACTCTCACAAACTCCGTCATCAAAAGGATGCGCTTTGTTCAAAGTCAGATGTGGACAATGGCCATCACTTACTCCCAATACGTGGATTTGGATGACATCTATGTCAACAGCACCTCGACAAGCCAATGGAGCACCCTGAATACCGATGGCTGCGATACTATCTATTCGGATAGCATAACATTCAGAAGATGGACCATTTCGAATGGTGACGATGCCATTGCACTCAAGATGAACTCCAGCAATATTGCCGTCTACGACAGCTACTTTGAGAATGGACAGGGCATTGCCATAGGCTCCATGGGCCAATACAACCATGAATATGAACACCTTGAGAACTTTTACGCCAGAAATATTACTCTCAAGAACACGGCTCACGTCTCTTATCTGAAGACATGGGCCGGTATCTCAAGAGGCTATCCTCCCAACGGCGGTGGCGGCGGGCTCGGCGTGGCGCGAAACATCACGATTGAAGATGTGAAGCTGATTGGCGGAAGACAACAGCCATTATTCGCCTGGCAATGCGAGAACTATTCTGGATTCTCTGGACAGGACTGTGACTCTTCCTTGTTCAAGATGGAGGACATTACATGGAGAAACATCCAAGGAACCGTGGGACCTGGAGTGACGGAGGCAGTCTATCTCCAATGCAGCGCGGCTGCTGGAGGCTGCGATAACGTCGCAGTAGAAAACTTTGACGTTGTCGTCGCGAGCACTGGCAAGCCGCTGACTGTTTGGGACTGCTTCAATGTCAATGCTCCCATCGGATTCACATGCACAGAATCGGTAACCCCGAAACTGAGTCCTGATTTGACTGGTGGTCACGGCCCCGATAACTGAGACTGCGGGGCGTTGAAGTGTTGATATCTGAGGCCTGCGTTGATACCTGTATATTTATATCTAGTATATAGGTACTTATCGTCATTTAATTTTACGCTGCATTTTTTTCATTCTATGATATTACAACATTAAGATGATGCCCCCGCCCTATGAAGCAGAGATATCAGCTATTCCTGAGTCAGTGCTTCTATAACCGGTTTCCCATGTTGACATGCACAGCTTTGGTCTGCGAATACGCTTCCAGGCCTGCCTCTCCAAGTTCTCTGCCAATACCACTCTGCTTAACTCCTCCAAAGGGTATTCTGGGATCGCAATCTTGGCTGCTGTTGACCCAAACCATCCCAGATTCGATCTCGGCTGACACACGATGGGCTCTTTCCAGATCTTTAGTGAAGACGGCAGCTCCCAGGCCATAAATTGAGTCATTGGCCAGTGCTATTGCTTCTTCCTCCGTCTTAAATCGCAGGATAACAACAACGGGACCAAAGATCTCTTCCTGGTAAATGCGCATCGAAGGGTTTACTTCGGTGAAGACGGTGGGAGCGACAAAATATCCCTTGCCTTTGTCTCCAATTGAGAGTGCTTTCCCTCCAGTAGCAACCTTGGCACCTTCGTTTTTCCCAATTTCGATATACCCCAGTACTCTATCGTACTGGGCTTTTGATACCTGTGGGCCCTGGTATGTGTCTTCCGCCCACTGGTGGCCAACTTTGCTTGTCGTGTTTACAGTGTCAAGGAATCTTTTGAGAAAATCGTCATACGCCTCATCTTGGACCAAGATTCGGGATGTAGCAGTGCAGATTTGTCCTTGATTGGACATGATTCCCAGGTGAGACCACTTGGCGGCCTGGTCCATATCGGCATCGTTGAATACCAAAAGGGGCGACTTGCCTCCTGATTCGAGTGTAATGTTCTTCAGTGTCTTCGCCGCAGTTGCCATAATGCTTGAGGCCGTGGCAGTTGAGCCTGTAAAGGCAATCTTATCGACCAAAGGATGGTTCACTAGAGCAGAGCCGGCATCTTTCCCTAGCCCGTTGATGAAATTGACAACTCCAGGAGGGAAACCTGCCTCTTTAACAAGCTCTCCGAGAACGAGGATACTTAGCGGCGTTTGCTCTGCAGCTTTGAGCACCACGGCGTTGCCACAAGCAAGGGCAGGCCCCAGCTTCCAGGTGGCCATTGATAGGGGGTAGTTCCATGGGATGATCTGGCCAACAACTCCAATCGGCTGGCGAAGAGTGTATGCAAACTTTTGATGTGTTGTGCTGATCACTTGTCCAAAGTATTTATCGCAGAAGCCGGCATAATACCGTATCACTGCCACAGCTTCGACAAGATCTACCTCCAATGCTTCGCGATAGGTTTTGCCTGGAATGCATATTAGTATCAGCTGCTTAGTATGGAGATGTCAAAAGAGCTCACCGTTATCCCACGCTTCAATTGTCGCAAAGAGTTCCTTCTTTGCCTCCATTAGATCGGCGAGGCGCCACATCAACTGGCCCCGTTCAGAGCCTGAAAGCAGTTTCCAGCTAGGAGCTTTCAGAGCTGCCTTTGCAGCCTTTACGGCTTTATCTACATCTTCTGCACTGGCAGCATGAACGCTGACAATCTCTTCTTCGGTGCTGTTGTAGTCAGGTTAGTCAACGAACATTCAGACAGCGGCCTCTAGGTGCTGCTCAAGGCTGCTTACGCTGGGTCAATAGAAGCGATTGTCTCGCCATTGGATGATGCAACAAATTCGTTGTTAATAAAGAGCCCAACAGGCTGGCTCCATTTGACACCGTTTGGTGCAGCGAGGTCAACTGAGGGCACAGTCATGGTGTGATTTGATGGGCTGTGCAGCGTCTATGTGAGATTGACAAAAGATTCTGCTTTAGGTGATGAAATGAATGGTAAAGATATATATATATAGATAAATGATTAAAGCAATTTGATGCTGATATATCTAGTAGATCGGACTCCGCGGCGAGCAGCTGCATTCACAACTTCCAAAATTCTCGTGAAAATACTCCCCGCAGAAATTACCGCCGCTGTTGACGCCGGTGTGGGGGTTTCATGATATTGTGGGCAAGCGGGGTAATGCCACCAATCTTCACTCTTTGTTGCGCTTTCGGCCACTAGACACTGGCAAGCTGATTGCTGGATTTGGGCAATGACTAGCAACAAGGCGGAGGAACAGAGTAATGTACTGGTGGCGAGTATCCGCAAAATTCCGTGTGCACCACCATAACGATAAGCAACAAGGAGCAAAGATATACTGTTGTTTTAACACTGATAACACTAAAATGATCGGCTGGAAAAGAATGCGGTTGAAGGTAGGATTGTGTGGCCTCAACGATCAAATCTGGTTATTAAAATGCGACCTCTGCAGCGTCCTTCTCTCGCTGAATTGATAAGAATTCTGTTTCAAAATCAATCTCTTTTACCGGGATAACCTTTGACTTGAAGGCTAATTTGAAGAAAACGTAGATTACTTTGTTTCCACGTTAGCATATCAAGCCATGAGCAGAGTATAAAAGACATGTCAGATAGATAGAGCTGGGACATACCGATAAATATGGCAATGTTAAGGTAGCAAGTCAAAAACCCCGCGGCAGTAAAATGGCCTTTGACGAATACGTCGAACCCTATTCAGTTATGAGATAAAACATCACCAACATGTATTCTACGAGCCAAGCAACATACCTGAGAAAAGAATGACGAGGCTCACCACAAACATGGTCGCCCATGAAATATATGGCTGCAGTGGGCTTTTGTAGGGAAGCGCTGCAAGTCTCATTAGCTGAATAGTACTTAGCATTGGCATGGATACCAGTCAGTCGTACCGTCTCTCGAGTATCCCTGGCTTTTGAGTCCCGCGTAGAATCGAAGGTATGTAGCTTCAATTACCACCCAACCAATCAACCCAGAGACCGTCGTGATATTGACAAACCAGCCAAACACCACTGACGTGTTGTTGGCAACATTCAAGTAGACGAGTGGTAGCAATAGGCAGGTCAGGCCAATGGCATAATGAGGCGATCCGAATCGGTTGCAGCGTTGAAAGAAACGAGGTGCATGTCCATCACAGCTCAAGCCATAGAGGGTTCGCGACGCGATAAAGATGCAAGCCGAGCCACTGCTAATGGCAGAAGTGCATACCACTGCATTGATAATTGACGGAACGACTTTAACACCGGATCGTTGAAACGCAATGACAAAGGGAGACTGCTGAGCAGTGCCGGTGGAAATGGCGAGCAAGGGGTCATTGTAAGGACTGTTTGGTAACATGATGAGTATTTGACCTGCTTTGACACTCGAAGGGAAGACTTACACGATGAGGCCGACGATGAAGATGCTGAGAACGTAAAAGAACAAGACTCGATAAAACGTCTTTTTGGTAGCTGCCGGAATGATTTTTCTTGGCATCCGGGTCTCGGAGCCTGAGATAGCAACTACCTGTATATTGCCATAGCTGAACGCAGCCGTAAGCATCACTTTCCAAAAGGCCAGGAAATGCCCTGTTGCTCCCGTCTTGATGTAGGCATTGAAGGCTCCGGGATGGTTCCAGTAACGGAAACCCAAACGGTCGTGATTTGGCCCGCCTCCTAGGTCGATGACCAGGCCGCCAATGATCAGGCCGATAATTAGCATGATCTTTAAGGATGCAAAAACGACTTCAGACTATTGTAACTGTTTAACGCTAAAAGATCAATAAAGTTATGCAGCTGACTTCTTACCTCGCCATATAGACGCACTCCGCAGAGGTTGAGAGCGACAATGACAACCAAGAATACGGTGATCCAAACCCCCGGGTTGATCGACTTATTCCAGAACTGTATCACTGTGGCAGCAGCGCTAATCTCTGCAGGTACAGTAATGGCCATTGTATACCCTAGTTGCCTGTCAGCAGAGAATCCTACACCGTAACCCACTGAGAAAGCAGAGTCAGAGCTCACAGAAGTTCCATCCAGTGGCCGCACCGAGCGCCGGCTCCACGAATTTCGTTGCATGCCGAATGAACCCACCGGTTCCGGGCATGAACGCAGTAATCTCACCGGTTGTGTACGAGACTCCAGCCGTGACAAATCCCATCACAATGTACGCCAGCAGCGCCCCGGCCGGCCCCGCAGTTGCAATTGCTTGCCCTGAGCTGAGAAAAAGGCCCGTACCCTGTTGAACGCGTTGAACTGCGATCAGTGCCTATTATCATGATAGGATCAAGATACGACTGCGTAGACTTACAATCATGCCCGCAATGGCAATCATGTTGATGTGGCGAGAGCTCAGGTCTCGTTTGAGACTGTTCGTCTCGATGACCGTGGAAACATCTTCATGGCGAGGCGTCTCTTCACTGACGCCGTGTTCCGGGTGCTTCTCCATGACTACTGGCGGGCAGAATGGAGACCAGTGAATATCTTCTGAGAACGTAGTATAGTGGAATTGTCCTACGATGCCTCTGTATATGCCACTGCGCCGATGCAACTCCTCCTATGGTGACTTGGACAGCGCGCGGTATTGGAAGCTATGCATAAAGGGTTGAGATTCTCTGCATGCAGAGAATGGCAAAAGCTGTTGGTAGCACAAAGGTGTGGCCCGGAAAATATGATAATGACCCCTGACGGATGTCTGCTGATATTCCGGGGTGACATGCTTCTGATATACTCATCAGAAACAGCCGCCATCAGTAGCCACAGATGTTATCGATGTTTCCCCGAGCACTCCGCACAACGCTATCTTGAACATCAAGCTATTGGAATAAAGTCTGTGAAGCACATCTAATATGTCTATTTGGAAATCAATCTGGCAGTTCGCTGTGGCATCCACTAGTCTCTTGGCCTATCGACCGGCGATGTTCATTAGATGCCGTTGCCGGTCTTCCTCGCGTAGTTTTAATTGCCGGTACGCCTTAGTCCGCTTTGGTCCCCACCCCCCATATCTACATCGTGGAGATAAAACGGTAAGCCGGCTACCGGGACTTACATCGTGAAGGAATACAATAACACAGTCCATGAATTCTAACGCGTGTCTTTCAATAAAGCAGCATTCAAACATGTCCAAGGATACAGCTCACGACGACTCGTTCCAGCTCTATGATCTTCGAGTCGAAGTTGTGTGCCCTCCAGGCAAGCGCATAATGTGCGGCGCGAAAGAAGGCGATTACTTTACCATGCAAGGTGAAATGATCTATTTGCCACCCAACCAGGGAATCAGTATATACTCTTTAGGTAAATCAATAAAATACCGTCCTACTCGATGCTGGATGTTTCTTCTTATTGGCACATGTCTAATGCTAAAACAGCAGCTATTATCCCGCTTCTTCCAGCGAAGCAAAGAGTTACGTCTCCCAACGACTGGATGACGACCGACGCCTTGATAGCGTGTCCAGATCCAAACTGTCCTTCTCAATTAAAAATTACTAGAGAGGGTATCAGAAGTTTCAGTCATTCTGAAACAACTATAGTTCCATTGCATCATGAATAGAGCAAAGTACTGAAGTTAGAGAAATATATGGCCAAAAATGGACCTGATCTAGAAGCCTGCTAGACATGAGTCCCTGTGTCGTGAAGACAGAACATTTACGCCAGTATTGCATTATTTTGAGTGTTGAATACAGTACTTGACATAATATCCGCCCAGGCACAGTCGTCCGTGAAGAATGGGTCGAGGTCAGCAGGATGGAATATAAATACGTCGGGGTTAGGCTGTTCGAAGGGCTGTGGCACGGATTGGCTGGTTGCGAGAGGCAGAAAAGAGAGTCTGGTTGAACCCAGCTCATTCTGATTAGCGGCTGGGTAGTTATCCGCATTGGAAAGATTTGGCATTGGTGGAGCATCTTTCTTCTTCCGCTGAGAAAGCTTGATGGCGATGTTGTTGAGAAATCTGGATTGTAGCTCGCAGCTTGTTCCAGTAGCTGCCCCCGTTTGGGAAAATGCTAAAGCGGCAGCACGAATAGTATCTACCACCGTGTATTCTATCTCCTGGACAATTATATCGGGGGCAGATAAGAGAAGCTGAGATCGTTAATTAGTGGCAAACGGCCTGATAGCCGAGCATTAGCGGCACCACACGTACCTTTACGAGGAAAGCCGCACTATAAGCGGTCATGACATGTATGGAGTCTTGAGCATAGGATAACAACGAGGGATTGCGCGATGTCAACTTCAACATATCCAAGGCGCCTGTGAACGCAGCCCAGATTATGTCCAAATGGAGCGATGAATCTGAATACTCTGACGACAATACGTCTCGTAATGGTAACGAGAAGAGCTGTAATCGAAAATGCGTTCCATAAAAACGGATCAAGAACTTATGGCAACTTCCCTCTTCTGGGGACTGTCTTTTTTCGACACTTTGAATCCAACGACGCTCCCATCTCTCGATGCTGGCCTTTTTAATCGAAAGCAGGGATTCTAAATCTTCGGACGCCATTTTTTCACTCCGTCGAGAATCGAGAGCGTGTAATGGAAATATTGACGAGATCATCAGCCTTAGTGTAACAAATGCACCAAGCAAATCATCGGTTCGGTCGGCTATTGGGTCGCTGCACCAGGCATCGATCGATTCTATAAACGGACTGCGATCGATCATCCAGGGCCGGCCTGTCTGAAGGCTGATACTATAACAGCGTTAACAATAATTCCAAGGCAAAGGGTGGTTGTAGCAACATACCTTCGATCGTACACAAACAAGACCAGCCAGGTTCTTTCGACATTACGGACTTCTCGTCGCCTCGTTTCATCCGCGTTGGCCCGGCTAGCTGCTGAGTATGCCGTCAATTTATGCCACCCCATATCCATGCACATACGAATTGCATATCCAACCGAGGTCCAAGCGCGCGTATCCTGCGGCTGCTTCCAGTAGGTGAGTATGAGAATGGCTTGAACAATCTCGGTTGACTTGGCACCGTTCCTAAAGCTTTCGGTATAGAGGTCTTGAGCATGTTCATATAATGCATTATACACGGCGGGGTTGAATGTCTTTGCCGACACGGCAAGCACTGTTGTGAAGAGGAACGATGACTTGCGAACGTAGTCGAACGTGTGCAAATAAGGGTCAAGCTGGCTGATATACGGATTCAGAAGAGTGATAAAGCTACACATACAGATTAGTTTCCTGGAACCTGACGCCAGAAGCGGATATCGCACCGACTTTTCGAAAAGCTTATTGGCTATAGGGAGACTCAATATGTTCATCTCTATTGGATCTTCCAGGTGAGCTGGGAGAGACCTTTCGGGCGGCTCCAACGCATCGCCATCCGTGGTACTCAGTATGCGTCGCAGCGAGAACTTGCCTCTCATTGCTTCCTGGTTGAGTACACCTGATGGCTGCAAGTTACCAGGATCTTCAACTGGCCCGCCCTCTACGATGGATGGAGTGCCTCTGCTGTAGTCCGGCGTCTGGTTGGTGGCCGCATCTGTTGAAGGCAACTCAACAGCTTTCCGCTTAGAGATCCTATCTCGTTAATTGAATAGGACGCAATACAAAGGCCATGTGTCACCTACTTCGTCCCGGGCTTTCGACCTCTGCGGTGCTGCTGGAACACGCAATCGAGAGACTTCCGCGCGCAACGTTCACATTTAGAAGCCGGCTGGCTGCCCAGCCGGCATTTCATCTTTACTTTTCGACATGGGAGACAGGCATTCATGATGAGAATAGTGTACAAACGCGTGTAGTTCTGCTTGGCGTGACGACCCAGAATGTCGGTGACAGCGGAGCAGTCGACTCAGCCGGGTACGCAATACGGGGAATAGCGAGGACGTGAGAAGCATTCAAGTCGAAAGATCCGTGGAGCCAGTGGGGCTTGCGCAGGTGACTGCGCGATCTGTTATGCGTATACCTCAGCGGGCTGTTGTTGATCGTTTATACCAGCGATCCTACATGCTGTAGTGCCTACTGGATCGTGCTCGCAGCATGCTATGTGCCGGAGCAAAACTATAGGAGATGCCGAGATCAGGTACGGCAGGTGATACAAGCAGTACTCCTTGACAGATAGCCAAGATAGCCTGCCATTATTAGCCTGCCCAGATAATGACAGACCCGCATTGACGACATGCCTAAACTAGTTTAGACGTAAGCCAAGATGAGACAGGCCGGCGATTTATGGCGGACTTTTGAGATACCGGTGGTCTTGGAGCTTCAAGATTTAGTACCGCGATAGCTTGGTAGCATAAAGCAAATAAAGCCAGCGTCCATTCTTTTGCAGTCTGAAACAGTAATCAGCAGCATACAAGCATCAACACTTTTATCAAAAGATACGTTCGCAAACCTGGGCTTTTTTCGACATGGGATCTCAAACTGGCGGCGGGGTTTCCACGGCCCATGTCAATATGATGACAGACACCATCATCGCTAACCTCCCCGCTGACGGTCTTCGCGTGGTGGTTAGAACACTGCTCGTCTTATGCCCGGAAATTACGGGCGCATTTGAACGGGAGACGAAAAAATACATCACGCAGAGAGTCGCGTCTTCGTTAATACCAGGCGATGCGATTCCCAGTCTCGTGGACCTCGGGAAGACGCAGCAGATTGCTCGCAGTATGCTGGGCTGTGGACTTGTCTTTGACAGCCTTCAGCTATTCCAAAATCTAGTCAATCAAGGAACCGCTGCACTGTCAAGGACGAGTGACAGCGATCTTTCTGATCTGGAAATATTTCTTACCAGTGTGGACGGTGATATTGTACAAGCTATGACTGCTGTTCAGAAGTCTCTCTTTATAGATACCGGTGCGCGGGTGATGAATGATGGAGAGCAAAGCATGGTAAAGCATCTCTATCAGTCACTTATGGACTGCCATGGCACTCTCAAGATGACAAAGCGAGACTTCCCCTTTGGACGAAGTCTAGTTTCAACAGCTGGGATTCTTGGGTTACCCCGAGCTGCGCTTCCAGATGCGAGCCAGGAACTTTACAAGCAGATTGCTCTAGCACAACCTCCTCCACAAGCTCAAGAAGCATTCCAGTTGAATGGACGCAATGTGCCTCGAATATTTTCAGGACTTTGGCAAATGTCGAGTCCTGCCTGGGGCGCTGCCTCCACATCTAAAATCGTAGAACAGTTCTCAAAACATGTACAGCAAGGATTCACGGCATTCGACATGGCTGATCACTATGGAGATGCTGAAGTTGTATTTGTATGTGGCATGGTTTCTGGTATTCTTCATTCACTCTGCTTATACAGATTACAGGGCCGCTTCTCATCGCTGTATCCTCATAAAGACGCGATATTCACAGCAACGAAATACTGTGTCTTCCACCCAATGGCCATATCTCGCGAAGCCGTACAGGCTAATGTCAGCGAGAGATGCCGACGGCTACAAACAGAAAAAATTGATTTGTTACAGTTCCATTGGCAGTTTGTAAGAACTTGATATGACCTGAAACGATGCCTTTTACGCTAACCTGTTTCCAGTACGAGAACCCAGATTATCTACAGGCTCTCCAATACTTAGCAGAAGACAGTAGAGTGGCAGCAGTTGGACTGTGCAATTTCGATACAGAGCATCTTCTGAACGTTGTCAAAAGTGGCGTCAAAATACACACCAATCAAGTTCAGGTTCGATGGTATTATTCGGCTACTTGACAGAACAATCGCTAATAGAACACTAGTTTTCCCTCGTTGACTCGCGGCCTATCTTTGAAATGGGCAGTGCTTGTGAGAAACACGACATCAAGCTCTTGACATATGGCACACTGGTGAGATTTTGACTTAAAACAAGCTTTTGAGATATTGGGAAACATCTTTTCTGACTACTGGGCGAAGTGCGGTGGTTTTCTTGCCGATAAATGGCTTGGAAAGGCTGAGCCAGATGTGTATGACGGATCGATCACACCTAGCCAGAGAAAGGTGAAGCGATCATGCCAAGACGTCCTTGTGTAGAATTCTATTACTGACACTTCTCTTAGTATTTCGAGATGATTCGCAGCTGGGGTGGCTGGGATCTTTTCCAAGAGCTTCTTGCTACTCTAAGAACTATTGCTACGAAACACAATGTCGACATATCCAACGTCGCAACACGCTGGGTACTAGACTTTCCCTGCGTGGGCGCGGTTATTGTCGGTGCGCGTATGGGAATCAGCGAACACACAGATGAGAATCTGCGCAGCTTTGGATGGTCCCTTGACTCGTCAGACCAGAATATGCTAGAAGCTATTCTGGGGAGAAGTAGAAGAGTGGATATTTATAAACATATAGGTGATTGCGGAGCTGAATATCGATAAGATATAGTCGCAAAAATGATATAGAGAGGAATGAAGCGTTGAAACCAGCAGATCTGTCGATACTAGATCTAAAGAATTGATGACCGAATATCTATTTCTGAACTCTTCGACTAAGCCGCTTGTATTAGAACAGGAGCGCCATTGGTGTTATACATATGCCTGCGAAAATGTACCCTGGATAGCCTTTTTGTCTGTAATCAATCCATTGACCATCCCTCATCAAGAACGGTCAAAGCCGCATAACCACCAGTCTTGAGCACTTCAGTATCCACCACAAAGATTGCAATGGCCTGTGTAGAGGAAGTTTGTGAATTGTTTTCTGCCACAGTATGATGACACCCGGGGAACTCGATAAAAGTTTCTCCAGGCTTGTATGCTTTTGGCGGGTTGCCATTCATGCCGCTTGTAAACTCGCCGGCCGTGACATAGGCAATTACGGTGGCTCCGCCGTGCCGATGTGGAGGAGTGAATCCGTTGGGTGGATAATCTAGATGAACTCCAATGATGGATTTTCCAGGTGCATTGGTTAACTCATGATCGAAGAGAATCTTGATGTCTTCCCGAGGCCGGTCTCTAATAATACACTTTCAGGGACAACTCGATATATTTGACTCAATAGAAGTCTTACGTTGTTTTCGTGGTGGAAGACATTGCATCGAATGGAGAGTATATCAAAAAAAAACTGAAGAGTAGCTTGGGTTTAAAAGAGGCTGCTGTAATTGATTGTAATTAGATTATATTTGTCTTATCTCAAGAAATAGACCTCGAGTTTCGGAGACAGTTTACGGGCTTATATACAATCTCATCTACACTAATTTTTGCTCAGATACGGGCCATTCGGAAAAGCAAATGATTTATTAATCTGGCAGTCAATCGATCTCCCTCAATAGCTCGAGATATGGCCACCCGAACGAAGTAGTTGCCATTCGGGTCGGGCCAAAGAGTATAGCTCCACATTCGGGTCGATGGCGTCTCCGGCTCACAGCCGACCCGAGAGCAAGTCGTCGCTAGATGCTAGGAAAAGGTGTTCCCGTGGCCCGTTCATGAAGAAATCACAGCAAGATTTTAACTAGGTATCCTGCCTGAAAGAATTTCTCCGCACCCATGTGGTTTTTAGTGGCTCATTCTCGCGCAAAAAGGCTGCTTGATGGCAAGGCGTAGCTCTACATTCGGAAACTCAATTCCAGCCTCTGTAACCATACGACTCACTCAAAATGCATTTCCGCTCATCTTAAAATGGCCACGATTAAAATATTATGCTTTGCTTCTAATTGTATGATAGCTTTATAGTAGCCCGTACTCCTTATATATAGGTATACGTTTTACATGAAAGTGGTGAGACAGTCAACATGCCGCCTGCTCATTTACACGCCTTCTGTTGCTACACCCAGATTCTTGCCAATATCTAAAACCCCCACATCTTCCAATACTTCGCCAATGAAAGATACGCCCTCAATGTTCGTCATGACTTGCAGAGCAGAAATATCCATTGTTCCAGAGGCATCGTGCCGCTCAAGAACCACCCGTGCCATCAACTTAATCTCCTCTGACCTGTGCCGCGCCTGTGGCCAGATTGTTGTAAACGCTTTGAGTACGCCTAAAAACACGCGGACCCGATCTCTCGCATGAGCCAACTCAGAGCCCGTCAAAAGGTGCTGATAAGCGGAAAGAAGAGTGGCCATTGCCAAAGACCCCATGCACATCACAAACGGGCTGTGTGTTAGGGGAGAAGAGGAAGCGGTCAGTAAGTCGACGAAGTTTTTCGCAGCAGTTACTGCCTTGTTTGTGTGCCTATCGCCGTGCTGTGTTTCAGCAGTTGAGATTTCGCCAGGCAGCGGCGGTGCGTATTTCGAGCACAAAAGCTCCATCGTGGTGTAGTGTAGCATAGATCTTGGCCTGTGTAAGTGGGTAGATGTTCTGCATTGATAATCGTTAGTTCTTTTCCAATTACATCTCTCATAGACTTCTCTCACGTGTTCATCACCATGTGCGCTTTAAATAAAACCTCATCAATAGTCCCATCTCGTCGGACGGGGTCGCGTTTTCGCTGTGGGAGATACAAATGCCAGCTCATGAGATTTGCTTCTGCATTTTTAACCAGAGAGTAAGGCGATTCATTGGCAGTATCGCCAGCGGCCAACGTCGTCCCAAGTATCCGTGTTGCGTCTATGAGGTATGCGTAAGAGGAAAAGCTTCCGTCGTTTAGCCCACGGTCGTCATATTCATGCAACGTTTGCGGGAATGGGATCCTCTGGAGCAGTATTAGCAAAAGATATACTTGCTGCATGAACAGCGTAGAAGTTGACTTACTCCTGTAGCATATAGATCTTCTTCACAGGGAATGTCGACATCAGTGTCTATTCCCCAGAGTGTGAAAGTAGGCAGATGACGGATCCCGGCAAACATTGCATCCGCCACAAAGAGTTCCCACCAAGTCCGTCGCCAGCTTTCTTCCAATGTCTTTTCTCCACGTCCATGGCGACAAGCGAAGTCTCGGTGTTGCATTCCTATTTCCAGTGCCATATTCTTTGCTCTCCCAAGGATTGCTGCCGCTCTTTCATTTTCGCCAGCCCATTCCAGAGTCAAAGAAAGAAGTAAGAGAGCCTGGACAGTGAAGCCGTTGGGTGAAAGCGTAAGATCGAAAGACTCTTCTGCCTGTTTTTTATATTCAATTGACTGCGGATCAAGAATATATAAAGAGCCAATGAACGTAATCATGAGGAATAATTGGCCGCTAAAATCCGGATTGCTCTCAAACTGTTGTTTCAGGTGCACTCTCGGGAGGACGAAAGGATGGCTGGGGAAGAAGAATTTGTAGAACCCGTCAACTGGTCGGCTTATGAGATAGTCATTCTCTGCAAATACAGTTGGCTGTAGACAGCCATTCGACGCCGTGAAAATCGACCGAGGGCTGGGCGGAGTGCTGGATCGATTGGGCGTTAATGAAGGCTCGTTAGAAAGAGTTGGTTGGCCAAATTGCGCCATGTTGTCAACCATATCTACGATTTCATCCCGCCTATCGGCGAGTATTGAATTCTGGATTCCGGTACGTCGTCTGCGGGTCTCTCGTAAATCCGTGTAGATGCATTCTTTGTCCAGGCTGCGACATCGCGAACAAATCGGCATGGCGGCATCGCACCGCAGATGCTGGCCGCGACATGCGGTGCACGCGATCGCAGCTCGTCGCTTGATCTTCCTCCCGCTGGGCTTCCGTGCAGGCGTTTTGGATTCCATCTTGGCTGAGATGAAAGAGATGAATGACATGAGTCTCCGCCGTCATCTGGAATTTAGGGATCGGGCCACAGTGCGAGCAGCCATAAGCTCCACCCAGTGTCCCGTACGGCTAAAATTGCATGTATGATTCGAGTCTGAGTAAACGTGGTCAGAAAGGGTCACCACTGCTTTGGCTCACTGAAAAGCTGTTTTAGAAAGAGTATGGTCCTTTGTCTGGCTGCTAGGGTTGTAATGACATGATACCTCTCTATCTATCTTTCTTTCGTGGCGAAGAGTGAGAAGAGAAAGCGGCGTTGAAAGCGAGTGCTGTGTAAAGAACAAAAAATGGCTTTGAGAGAGGTGTCATTTTTCTTCTGCTTCAATAACTCTTTTGATCAATTATAATACTTATTTGACTGGCTGCTGAAGAGTAGTGACTGATGCGCGAATCGCTTCATCGACATGCACCCTCCTGATTCCAGGGCATGGGCCAAGGCAAATTGCTTTTTCTGCCAACCCCCGGATAAGCTTATCGAGGTCAACAGTTATCCTAAGGTCCTGTGTTTTTGCTTGACCAATTGCTTTGTTGCTGATGGGAAACCCAATTTCTGAATACCATTCTGGCCTTGCGAAATCATTTAGTCCCGTGGGAATGATCTGGTTCTCTCCAGATGCTCTCCCAAATATCGTCCAGTCATGTTCTGGGATCGCAGCACGCCCTGCTAAACTTGGCTGGTTACCTGTTGGTGCTGATAGTCTGATCACGTCGCTGGGTGAGCCCATGCGGACAAATATCCCTCGCTGCTCAAGATACTCTTCAACATCTGGCGCTTCCAGCCACTCTCCTTGGAAATCAGGATTAATTGTTTGAAGTATTGTTCTGGTCAGGCCAAATTCCAAGCGCTCCAAGGCTGGTGGTGATGACCTTGGCTGGAGAGTGCCCAAGTTTCCCTCGACAAGGCGCATCATTCTGGGCAGATGTGCATTTCGGCCTTCACTATAGCGACAATCTGCGAGAGATGCATTAGGATTGCCAGAAAGCCGTCGGGAGACACTTTCTAATAGATCCTCGACTCGATCAAACTTTAACGCAAGAAGCATCGTCGGATTCAATGCCATAACATGGAGATTTCCAGACTGCAGCAAATCCATGGCTCTTTCTAAACAGGCTAGTAGCAGCCGTTGTGAGACTGGGACTAGATTGCTACTACCAGTCATAGATTCACCATGTGTCCAGTACTGGTCTGCTCCAGCCACGTCCCTTCCAGATGCATGGAACAAGTCAGCTGTGATACTTGATGGATCGCTGGCAGACCTTGTATCTCCATTTGAATATGCTGCAATGTCTTCAGGAGGCCGAATTTCGTCGCTGGCCGAGATGCCCTGCTCCGTGCGAGCCTTCCTTGCTATGGATACGATATTCATGGCTGTCTTATTAAGTTCCATGAAAAGCTCGACCGGTAGCTCGCTCTTCTTCTTGGATACTTGTTCATAAAACTGTATAAACTCATCAATGGAGCTATCCAAGGCCTTTTCAAAAACCTCAGCTCGATTCTTTGCTATGACAAGCGAGTTCTGTTTCCGACTCCGGTATGATCTCTGAGCCAATCTCATCCGAGCTCTCCTCTAAAGTACGACTGATTAGATTAAATTAAGCCTAAACAGATAGTAAACTCACAGTCTCGTCATTTACTTCTCCTGGGGCGGTTTCGCTCAATCGTGGGCGACCAGGCCGCCGAGGCATCATAGCTTTAGCCTGAGGATCCATAGCTCACACTTATTCACTGCTGAGTAGACCACTGTATAACAGAATCTACCGTTAATGAGACAAAGTATTTGTCTACTCACAATTGGCGCTGTGCCTCCTGCTATATTTGCGATTGTAGGGACCAAGGCCGCTGACAAATTATGCCAAGTTCCTCTGACGTAAGCTATGTCCGTGAAATCAGACAAATTGTTTTTGCGTAAAGCCGACGGAACGGACATTTAGTTTGTCGCATCCCAAATTAGTATGATGAAGATAGTAGAAATTAATCTTCTGCACGGAAACGTGAGACTTTGTCATCATTCTCTCTATAAAGCTCTATGATTATAACCGGCAATACTACGCAGCTGAACTCGAAAGCTCAGATGCTTACACTCCGTAATTTTTCGGCAACAAATCCTGTCCATAGGCTACGGAGCTCTCAAGGCCGCTATATTTGCGACTGGCTTACACACTAAGAGGCCTGATGATGCCGCCGGCAACGAGTGGGATATGCTCATAAAGGTCCTTACCTATACAGCCACATAGTTCGGCATTATGAATGCTGTAGGAAGTAATTTATGCAGTTTGATCTTGAAAGTAACATTTGATGATTTGAAGGAGATGGGGCTCCGGATATCTGAAAGTCTTGTAGAACTTTGGGAGGCATCTGGCAAACTAAGATACTTCTAGTTATTACGAGATAACGGCTCGGTGAGAAAAGGTTTCACAGCCTGCTAAATAAGTTTTGGGGCGTTTTTGGAGGCATCATTTCTTTATATCTAAGTTGATACGTATTGTTTTAGCCTCCTATCGCACAAAACTAACTTTGGCGAAAGAGTATCAATGGAGAGATGGGGCGAGCAAATTAGTATGAGAGAGGAGCTTTGTAAAAGACCTGGTAGCCGAGAGGCAGAGTGCTTGGATCTTGATAAAATTACTTCAATTGGCGAGTTAATATAGGGTATGCGGCGATCCAAAAGATAGGATACTATATTCAACAACATTGGCCAAGCAAAACACATACAATGGACATAAGTATTCATAGCTACTTGAAAGGCATCATAATGCTCGATTATTTACATATTTCACGTATGACATAGGACGATTCAACTACAACAAATCACGCTAATAGTAAGCTTCATCGGTATATATCGCCCGCTTAGTTGTGTCACATCGCAGCCAAAAGAACAAAAACAGCAAGCAATACATATGTAGGCCGCCTAGACTCAGGCTTCTTCTAGCGGTTTTCTAGCTTTAGTATTCAGGGCCGTTTGCCACAAGGTTAGTCATTCGCTATGACTACAACGCATACTCGGCATACCGTACTGTAGAAGCGTGGCTGAACTGGCAAGCCTTATCGGCAGCGCACGTACCTTTTGGCAGCAAAGCCACGATGGCAAGTCTCCACAGAGTTTTACCACAAATGGCCACTAGACCCTGAAGACTTATCGCCCACGAGAGCATCAAAAAATTTTCGCCAACAGTGAAGAGAGCAGGACCCACGTGGGCCGGGCTAGTTTTGGTAGATATCAGAGGGGACAGGGCCTCTCTCCCCCATAAAAAGGTGCTACAGGAAGAAAACAAGGACTCTGTGAATATCTCCTCTGTCGATAGCAGTAGTTGCTGCGGAAGCCGTCTCTGCAGAATGAGGTCTCGTAGTGTGGAGCCCTTGATCCAAAGGCTGCCACCCCTTAAAAGAGCCGCTAGTCTTACAGAGGCTGAGGCACGTCGGGCATTGCGCTGTCTTCACGAGTTTTCCTATTACCCAATCCCAGATGTGTTAGGACAGGAGGTGCCCAGGAAGACGCAGGACGATCCCGTGCTAGACTCTGGTTATGTCTCGGAAAACGAAGCCGATGAGATAGCCAACGAGAACAAGGCCATATCCCTGTATCTGGAACCGCTAGAACGCGACTTTGCTGTGCGATGGCTTACCGGATTTGTTGGACAAGCCTGGGAACTCCCTCTGGATGATGATAATCGAGATGGCTTTGTGGATGCGGCATGTTCGCTGCTGTCGCATCTGACTTCGACCGAGAATGGCTGCAGTACGAATGACGAGGAGGATCTTGGCATGACGCGGCGATTTGAGTTTTCGACGGGTGACGACGCCAAACTACTTGTTGTTGATCTCTACGACACTCCCATGCAAACAGGAGAAGATCATACCGATGTTGGCTTGCAGACTTGGGGAGCATCCATCGCATTCTCACAGATGCTTTGCACCGCGCCATCAGACTTTAACTTGGATCGGAGAACGCTTGCTTCCTCCACACGAATCGTTGAGCTTGGGGCCGGCACAGGCCTTGTGAGCATGGTGCTTGCAAGCCTCCTGCCCTCAATAGCTGATTCACTCCCATCCATCGTCGCAACAGACTACCATCCAACTGTTCTAAAGAACCTGGAAAGAAATGCCGCCTCTCTCAGCTCTAGATCGGAACCCGCCGCATCGATGCAAGTCGCCCATCTCGATTGGTGTGCTCCAACGCGTGAGCCTCCGCTGGATGTGTTGGCAGATATTGTTATCGCCGCAGATGTTGTCTACGCTGCGGAACATGCTCGTTGGCTTCGCCATTGTGCCGCTTATATCCTCGCGCCTGAAGGTGTCTTCTGGCTGATGGTATCTATCCGACCAAATGGCAAATTCGAAGGCGTTTGCGATTCAATTGAGGCCATATTTTCTGAAAATAATACGGATGCTGCAGACAGCTGTCAGCATCTAAGGATCTTGAGCAAGCAGTGGATTGATAAGAAGCAAAGTATCGGACGAGCTGATGAAGTCGGATATAGGCTCTTCAAGATTGGCTGGGTATAAGGCGCCTGCGCTGAACCGGCACTTCTTGCGGTTTTATCTCTCAAACTTTTTTTGTTTATTTGTTTAATCTTTCATATCTGGTTTATAAGCGGAAAGATGGATTTATAGAGCGGTTTATACGGCAAAATAGAGAAAGGGGGCATACTTCATTAGAGAGAGGGGTCATGATTAGAGAGAAGGGTCATAGATAGATAGACTATAGACTTAGAACTTTGGTGCATGGATATCGCGTTATTCTGAATATACATATTTTCTTAGAGACAATCTGAGCTTATTTTGAACGCTTTAACGACACGCGCACTCCATTCAAGCTGCTTGTTGTTAGTGCAATATTTTCCTGCCACGGTCGAGAGTCTCTGGACTCGATAGTCTCAAATTCTTGGAGAAACCGAATAAGCACGTAGCTAGCCTCCATTATAGCAAATTGTTCTGGAAAGGAAAAGGGTTAGCTAGGATAAGAATTTGAGCCTTTATGGAACCATGTACTCACGGCCAATACATATTCGAGGGCCGCCATTGAACGGGAGGAACTCCCACGACAATCGGAGCGACTTCCATCGCGAGGGATTAAACTCCTCAGCGTCGACGCCATACACTTCCTGTTTGCGATGGAGACCATAGACGTTATACACAACCGGAGTTCCCTTGGGGATGAATAAAGGAGACTTTCCCTCCAAGCCTCCCCCTCGTGGAAGAACGGTATCACAGATTGCCACTCGAGAATTGACCGGAACCGGAGGATAAAGCCGTAAGCTTTCATTAATCGTATAGCGAATATATCTGCATTCAGAGATGTTGTCAAACGTCGGTGGCTGATTTTGGAATTGCGCGACCTCATCCCGTAGCATTGCCCACAGCTGTGGTCGTGTCGAAAGCATGAGAAAAACATTAGCGATGAGGCCTGCAGTGGTATCTCTGCCTGCCACAAGTATGTTGAGGATTTCATTCCGAATTCGGATTGGATCCTGGGTATCTTCAATAATGGCTCGCAAGAGAACATAAGGAAGTGACTTGGAGTCTGAGCTGTTCCCACGCAAGGCGTCATGCACAAGATCGTCCACAAACTTGTGTACCACGTCTACATGCTGCTGGAACTTTGGATCTGGTTTAAGAATAGCCAGCCCACCTAGCGCGATATGCGTTGCAATTCGATCTTGTGCGTATTGAATTGAGTCTTTAAAACCCTTTAGTTTACTGTGATAGTCATGCTGCTCCTGTAGCAAGCTATTGGTGGACTCTCCCAGTAAAAAGTCAGTGGCCATATCCATAGTAAAACGCAATACCAGCTCTTGGAGCTCTATCTCTTTTCCATCAACGATGAGGTCCATAAATCGCTTGACGTGAGTCTCCAGCATGGACAAGTCCATGAGTTGTTTACGAGCGAATTGAGGTCGAAGAAGAGCACGCGAATGGGCCCAGGCAGCCCCATCTGAGCTGAAAATTCCAGCTCCCATGAGAGGATGCAGTGCTTTTTTCCGTTCTTCCTGCAGTTGATAGTCTTTGAAACGTGTGGAGAGAACCGTCTTGATGATTTCATGGTCCCGGGTCATGATGCCTGTGGTGATAATATTCGTCTCAGCTAATATATATACAAGGGTAGATGTCATGTTTACATGGCTATTGACGCAACATACCTACTGTCCCCAGCATGTTGAGCTGGTACGTTTCCCCAACTTCATCGTGCCGTTTTGTTACTGTCTCTAGGAACCGATGCTTAGAGAATGCCTTAAAGTTACTGATGAGTAGATCAATTCCATAAAATGGATCTTTGTGAGGATATTTGATCTGAATAGGCTCGCATCCATGCTGCTGCGAAAACTCTCTCTGCTTTTTGGAGCTGCTAATTCTATAGGATATGAATCTGTAGAGGCAATACAATATGCCCCCGGTATACAACGCCAACGCGATCTTGCTGAGATCCATCACGTTGGCAAAATAGTATTGAGATAATGGAGACCAAGATTACCACCACTACTTAGCCTACTTCCCGATCTGTCATGAGACAGTACTTATAGCCGAGTAGACGGCTTGCCTGTGCTTCATCGGAAGGATGCTCGGTGGATTGATGAGCGCTAATGCTCAAATCAATTTGTCCCACATAGCACTTGTAGCTATTCAATCGCAACTTGCAGCTTGCAGCGTAAGACGATTATACACACATACCCCAGAACCATACACTATGTTGGGGGCAGCCATATCCGGCAAGACCATTTTTCTTTGCACGGTTGAGTGATTTATGTAGATCCTATACATGAGCAGGGCTACAAAATGGGGAATGCTTGTCAGTGAGAATCTCCAAACCAACCCACCACCTTGGACTCTAGCTTCGCTTTATGTGGAACGCTTTGCAATAGCAATTAGCCTCCGTTGATACCGTCCGTCACCGAAGACCACGATTTTTTCCAAAATGAAGATCCTATGTTTACATGGACGTGGTTCCAATAACGAGGTTACTCTTCGCCCATTACATCTCACACAGCCTGTCATCCGGCACATTAAACTGATTCGCGTCATGGAATTTATTATAGATCTTTCAAGCCCAGACTGCCTCTCTGAGATGCATTTTGGATGATTATTCGTTCGACTTCGTTCAGGGAACAGAGCTGCATACAGAAGGTGTGTCACCATAGTCCAATCAGAGCCACACCCAGTGTTCTTATCGTATGCCCATATAGGAAATTGGTCTGTGTTTACAACCCAATTCTCAAGCTTGCCTCAGTACGGATACTACAATCCTCTGAGTCCGTCATCTGTAAAGAATGCAGAGGACCATCTACTAGAGCTCATCGAAGAAGAAGGAGGATTCGATGGAGTGTTGGGTTACTCTGGAGGAGCGGCGTTTGCAGCTCAAGCAATCATTCGACACAACCAAAGCGATCCAAGTGAGCCTCTGTTTCGATTTGCCATCTTTGTCAACGGCGGCACTCCTATCAAAGCTTTCACGCTGAGTGAAGAGAAGGTGATGGCTGGAGCGGTAGACACTGCGGCGATAGATAAGGAACTGGCAGCAACTTTTTTTCGCCCCTCAAACATGCGGGTACGCAAAGGGGATAGCAGAGAAGAAGCCGAAAAGGCTATCGAATCCCGCAAGGAAGAAATGAAGTCTATTGAGACGGGCAAGCTTAGCGATGGAAGATATTTTCTAACTGACGGAAAACTTGGCTTAACAAGATACGAGGGCGCGATGGATGGTCCGCTTGTTGACATCCCGACACTTCATGTGAGGAGTCCGAACGAGGATGATGCTAATCTAGGACTCAACCTGCTGAATCTGTGCAACCCAGACTTGGTACGAGAATACCATCATCCATTTGGACATGACTTCCCGAGAGGGCAAGAGGAAATCCGAAAGATTGCTCAGATGATTGTCGAGTTGGTGGAATCAGCATAGCTACATACCTAGACAGGCGAAGAATCGGCGTTACAGCCTATCAATAGGAAACGAAAACTCATTTCCCATATTTTTCCCACAGTAGCTGTTTGGGTCTTCAGTACCAACAACTTGCATCTCAGCCACCGTCGCTCCAAGGCCGTCTGCGACGTAAGACCCCTCAATTGATAGCCTCACGAACCGAATCAGTGCTGATTTGTGAAGCTCCACAACGGTAATATTTCCTTCCCGTATCCGAATGGCTTGTGCTTCCTGGGGATCGTATGTTGCTGATATCTCCACCTTCTGCGTGGGGTGCAGCTCTTGGAAATTCTCCTCCGCCGCTTCGCTCCCATGTAAGCTAAAACTAGAAGGTGGCACACCACCCCAGTTGAGTATAACTCTTGAAACATCGCGTGGCTTATTGCCTTGCAGCTCGACCGTAACCGAGGCCTTTTGGGGGCTAGATGGCTGCCACACGGTCGAATTCGCGCCGTCGACTACCGCATACGGATAATTTCCAGCGGCCCAGTCGGAATCAGAGGCAACCGGCTGACACAAGGCCAGATCTTCTTTTGCATGGCTGATATCAGGCCGTCTTGTTGGGACGACAACGGACTCTCCTACAGCTAGGCGATATTCTTTTACACCTGGATTTCCACCGAGTATGCGCAGGTCTACATGCTTTTCTGCACTTGAGGATGTGCTACGTCGAGTGATTGTAGTGGTTTCCGTCTCGATCGTGACATCGAACGATGCATTCTGCCACTTCATGCCCTTGATCTGAACTCCGCCTGGAATTTGAGGCGGTAGAGTTGGGTCAAGATAGAATGCCTCTGCGTTTGGGCGCATCCCAGTCAGGCCATGAGTGAAGTATTGTAAATAGCCGCCAGCCCCAGTTAGAAAGGGGAACGCTGGGTTGAGTCCAAAGATGAACGCGGGGTTATCAACTCCTTCAGGCTCTGAATCCAGCATTGTCTCGCTGAATTGGTAAAAGGGTTGGCGGATGTATGACTCCGAAGAGCGTTGCATGAAGGTATATGAGGCACATCCCTTCTGCTGCAGCTGAGCTTCAGAAATTGCATATATGGACCATGTCATTGCTGGTCCATCTGCTGTGTTAACTGAAGAGTACTGATATCGCAGGTTAGTTGGTTTCGGGATAACGTAAAGCTACGTCCAGGGGCACTCACATATGCAACGTCATTTCGTGCTTGTGTATCACTCAGCTGAAACTGGAGCGGGTAGTTGATCAAGCCCACGCTGGCTTGTTTGACACGCCACGTGCCATCCATCCCAGAAAACTCGATGATGATTTCTTCTTTTTCCTCATACGGAATGTACATGTTCTCCGCAATACGTGACCAATTTTGAGGGACTGGTAAATTCAGGCGGCCGGCAGCTGATGGGGCCCAGTCGCCAAGCAGCTGCTTGATGGCTACCCCAGTGTATGCGCCATTGTTAATATTATATGCAAACTCATCCTGCAGCATTTGTTTCGTCAGTAAATGTATCTGGTGATAAGGAACTGCCCATCGAAATGACCACATACCGGCTCTCCCATTTGAATGGTTTCGTATTGTCCAGTGGAAGTGTTGTGAAATACATACGCAGCAAACATATCAGCAATCTTTTTGATCACCGGCCATCCTTGTTTCGCAAGCCAGCTCAGGTCATTGGTTTGCTGAAAGTACTGCCAATGAGCCAATGCAATATCAGAGTTGATGTGGTATTGGTAGCCCCAGCACGCCCCGGTGCCCGTACAGTTACCAAATCGGCCACTGGTCCACGGATACAGCGCCCCAGAAAAGTTGTAGTACTGGGCATTTTCAACAGCTTGGTCCAGGAGCAATGCACGGTAGTTGTTGATGCTCGCGGCATACTGTGGGTAAAGCGAGAGTATCGAAGGGTACACCCACGTATCTGCATCCCAGAATACTAATCCAGCGTAAGAATCGCTAGAGAGACCGCCGACGGAAATTGAGTTGGCGAATCCAGACTCTTCGGGCAAAAGGCCGGCGAGAATGTGGAATAGCGATGCTCGCGTGCGGACTTGCAAGTCTGTGTTGCCTCTGATGACGATGTCCCCGTCGTTCCAGACCGCGTCCCATTTCTCTGTGTGCTCAGATATCAGATCATGCCAAGCAACAGATCTTGCCGAGATCGCCACGTTCTTCGTCCGTGCCAGCGTGTCTCTGGGAAAGGCTGCTGTGGAGCCGATTCCTACAAACTTGTACACGGTCAAGGATTTCCCCCGCGTCAGATCCCAGTCCCAAGAGCTCGCCACGGTGCTCGAGTTTGTGGAGACCCAGGGATACCCCTCACCATTGTGCCTCGTGCTAGATCCGCTCCGCAGGCTCTCCACGTTTACAGGATTGGCATCTGGACTTTCGAATTTGACTGTGGAGACAACATATGCTGTGCAATAGTCGATTCCTGAAGGCTTCACGCTTGTCCAAATTGTCGCGTCTTCGTCGAACAATTTATCGTGAAAGTCGGCCCGTACAGCGCCCGCCCCGTCCAAAATGTCGGTTATCTTTAGCTTCGTATCCTGGCTGACCGAGAGATCTAAGCGAACAATCCCCAGGTTGAGCCGACTTCGGTGCGCAAGGACAGTGTAGTTCAGCTGGAAGGTAGTGTTTTGTCCTACCGGATTCCAGGTAATGTTTGTGTGTACAACTCCATTTTGGACTGAAAATGACTGATGAAACGACGTAACGGTAGAAGGATCGACTCCGGGTTCATAAGTCTGGCCGTCCTGTGTTGTAACCGTAAGACCAGTCCAATCCGGAATACCGCTGATAACTGATTCGCCTCCTCGTTTCAGATTGTCTGGGACGAGGGTGTGCGTGATATTTTGCTGAACATCCCAAAATCCAGAAATAGTTCCAAATGTGGCTCTTGGTTGATCCAGCGGCCATGCTATGAGATCACAACGCTAATTAGCAGTATTCCACACGACGTAAACGCAAGGAATTCGCGCTATACAAACAATTTAACACGTAACCGCCAGTGGAATCATCTCGATATGTCCAATATCCAACGCCTTCAGCCGGCAGTCGCTGGCCAAAGTATCCATTGGCAACGTAAGGGGAGTTTTGATAACGATTTGCAATAAACTGATTCGTTGAGAGGACCCAAGGGTCAGAATGGGCGGAACCAGGACTCCCCCAGACACCAATAGCAAATACTGCTAATAAAACGAACGTCTTTTTCATGATTACGGCATGGAGATTAAGCTTGATCTTGGGAACATGCGGAGTACATATGTAAGCCCTTTATTCCTCTCGGGGAAACTGCAGGACCCTCCCCGTCATCGGCCTGAACACTCTGCGATTCGCAATAAGAAGTTTAACCAAATGTTTACGCACATACAATTTAGTACGTAAAGAAACGGAATCAACGGGGACAGTTCGTGCTGCTATCGTACATTTGCAGCAGATTTAGTTGATCATGTAGGAGCGCCTATTCCTGTCGGGTAACACCCTTTACCCCTCTTGTATTAGTATTCCAGGCCCACAACTAGGTAGATAATTTGAGGGATGAGCAAACACGCAATCGAAATTGAAAATAAAGATAAAGACATTGTGAAGAATTAGGAAAGCTCTCGTAATAGGCCCCGATTGCCGTCGACAAGCTGCCTATTGGAGCAGTTGGCTGCAGACAGCGCTGCAAATAATAAGCGCTATGGCTGCAAAGTGCTCCCTCATCCTTGACTAACGGGCCGACGGATTCCTGCCGAGTACTCAAATCCATGGTTGATTCAGATTTATTACCCTTGTCAAGATGTCCTAACGATGGTACTATGCGGTGTCGAAAGGAGGAAATGAAGTACGAATAAAAATTGCACTACCTACGAGCTCCGGATGCACTATTGACATCAGCTTACGCCGCTGTTGAAATGTATGGGGAACGGGCCGAAATGGCGGGGCCCTGCTAATCATTCCATCAATCAGCGAACAACTTATTTTGGAGACAGCGTGGGAAATAGAAGCTTTTACATTGTCTAATTGACGTAGCTATTAGAAAGACATCGACAGGAATAGATTGAAGCCATTATGCAAGGTATAGGTAGCTATAGTGCTTCCTGGAACATAGAGATTATCTCCAGACTTAGGTCGTATTAACCCAGCTACTGTTAGCATACAGGTCACGTTGATAGTGGCAGGGATTTTGACGCTTGTACAAGTATAAGGACAACGTTGAATACAGCTAGCCTCTCTTTGAAGGAGGCCGAACAATGATACCCACACAGAAACTGAGACAAACGGATAATACGAATGACCAATTACCAAATGTGGAACAGGTGTTCACGGGGACGATCATTAAAGAATTGTAATTTGACTCTGCGTCAATACTACTGAAATATACACACAACACAGGGCTACCCCGGCATTCTCTAGAATCGTATTAGCACGATGGTGTAGGTATTATCCTGTTGCCGCCGGGTATAGAGCTCTGCATGTACACTATTCCATCTTTGCTTATAGCACAAATGACTCTCATAACGTTAACATAGCCTCGTTTGTATTAACATGTGTTATCAAGCAAGCTACTCGGTCAGCATATTGATGTGCCTGTGATGAATTACTTTATAAAGGTCTTCCCAGTGTACTCTTAATACCTCTCGAGAAGAGCTGCATATCTTCCCCTTCTTTTCAACATCGTATTGTCAAAGTTGACGTCGCCGCAATGGAGCCTCTCGCCATTATCGGTATGGCCTCTCGGTTCCCCCAGGAGGGGGACAACAACGAGAACTTTTGGAAGATGCTCATGACTGGCCGATCTGCCATGACGCCATTTCCAAAGAACAGATTTGATATGGACGGGCATTACCACCCGGATGTTGAACACGGAGGAACAGTTAGTGTCCTTGTTGAGTGTTTTGTTTCACATGTATACTCACCTGATGAATAGTTTCACGTACAAGGCGGCCATTTCATGAAGGGTGATCCTTCAGAGTTTGATAATCAGTTCTTTTCGATTCCCAAAGGCGAGGTGATGTCTCTGGATCCTCAACA